ATATGCGACGCAAAAGTGATTTCTTTTTTTTTCCGCCTCTTTTGAAACGCTGTCAAGAGTGTCTGTTAATATTAGTTGCAAGTTCAAATATGGCACAAACACACACACGTATACTTGAATAATTTGAGTAGGTTTTCAATGCATACATTTTTCGCACCTTCTTTGTCGAAGCTGTCTGACAAGACACCAAATTATCTGTGTTCGAGCGTGTTTCTCTCTCTCTCTCTCTCTCTATATTTCGCTGCAATCCGTTGTCAAGCCACCAGAATATTGTTACAAAAGCTCATCCGAGCAACAAAACGTCTAATATTAAGTAAGATGTTGAACTTTTCATATCTTTGGCTCATACTCTCTGTGGTCTCGTCTTCATTTGATGAGTTTAGTGGTTTTTTTTTCACTCACTCTTGCATCGCCTTTCTTCCTCTTCATTCCTTTCTTCGTCGTCGTCGTCGTCATCGTCGCTGTTCCATCAAACAATTTTCATTTTTATGAATAAATAATGTTTATGCGTAACCGAAAAGGCATCGCAAATGAATATTAACGTGAAGTATGACGACGACGACGACGACGACAAAGCAAGAAGAAAAAAAACATCCTTAGAGAAAACAAGTGTTTGGTCGTGTGAAAGCTGTCTGAGAGGCAATATGCGATGTATGGCACGTATAATAATAATAACGGTGGCAATAACCACACATATACATGCGTCTCAACATCAATCTTATACTGGCATCCACTAGCCACGAACCAAGCACCAGCAGCAGAAAAAGAAGAGAAAAAAACCATATTGCTCTTGATGTAAAGGCAATTTCAAATAAAGTGGTACTTTTTTTTCTTCTTCTTCTAAACTAAAGTCAGTTTGCACCATTTCCCTGAACGAGAGAACGCTCTTAGACACAGACATATTCGCAAAAATATATTTTTATACGCTTACACATACACTTCAGCAGCGCACGGCTTTGCATACTCAAAAACAATTTAAATAGATGGTTTTGTTATTTTAATATTTATTTTCTTCTTTTCGTGCTTTTCGCTATCTTCATTTCGTCCAGCATCAGGGACTGCAAGTTCGGAACATGCCTTTAATCAAAACGAAAATTAAAGACGAAAAAAAAACTTTTCGTTATCGCAGCAGAATATGCGATGTAGTATACATTAAAAATTCCCAATATAACATAATTTGAAATAAATTTTAATTAGTCCAATGTTCGGCTGCTAGATCTATGGATTGCCATTTTTTATTGGTAGACACCCTCCTTGTCTTGTTTCTTTCATTTCCATCGCTTGCATTGCCCTGTCTTTGCTCTGCTAACGAGTGGAAAATTTAGTGGGCATTTCGTGTATGATTTTGAAAAGCGGCGAGCGCGTAGAGGCTCGCTAGCTCACCAGAGAGTAGACGACCATATGTATGGCGTGAAATAGAGATGGAGAGCAAGCGAGAAATTATGATGAAGAAACGACGACTAACAACTTCGTCACGAAGTATTTTACAAACGAGTTTTCACGCTTCACGTTATGAATGTACAAGTATGATCGGATCAAGAGAAGCTGAAGCGAATAAATTATCCATTACCATTGTTAACCGTTTTTTATGATGCCGTTTTCTTGTGCGTTTCATCGAGAAAGGCTCACGAAATAACGAAGAACGAAAAAAAAAAATCCTGCACTTGCCGCGACAAAGTCATTTGAATTGGTTGTTACTGCTGGTGTTGTTGTTTTCTTCTTTTTTTTTTGTTCTTGTTTTATCTTTGTGTGTTATGGTGTTATTTTTGTGTCGGTTCGGTCGTTAATACTGTGTGTCTGCATCAGCGGTCGTGTCATTTATGCAACAATAGACAAAATCATTTTATTAGACGTACACCCCTTTTTCACTTGTTGGAAAATTATCTAAATTAATTTTCTTTCATATCCCCAAAAGCGTACAAGAAATTTTCAACTTGAATAAAACATTTCAATGGAAATTTTCTTCTGTGTCATTGGTGTTTCAATTTTTTTTTCTTCTTTGCTTTATTTCTGGGTTTTCTGCGTTCTTTTTGGTTTGCTTTCAGCAAATCGGATTTTCTTCACCTATTTTACTATTCAATGCTCGTTTGCCACATAAAAAGTGAATTATCATATGAAACGAAGCAAGAATGCATTAAAATCGTTCATCTTTGAAAATCCGATGGCGTGTGCGCACGCGTTCAATGGACCTTTTGAGCCAATACAAAGCCAATGTCGAGGTTAATCGCAACTACAACAGCAGCAGCAATAGCAGCAAAAAAAAAACGCCAGTGCCTAAATGAAATTTGAGACACAAATATATGTATCATGAAAGGTAAACAAAAGCAGACGGAATTCATGTGGAACAACCCGTGCGCGCGCGCGCGCGTCATGAAATGTGGGCAATTTTGCACAAATAAATTGAACTGAATGTAGGACGAACCGTTTGTGTGGCTGTTTTCGTGAGATGATTTCATGGTCATTTGAGTAATCTTGCATAAAAATTGCGTGCCCACCCCAAATGCAATGCTTTCAGTTTTCCTCTTTTTTTTGGAAAAGATTTTTTTTTTTGTTCTTTCTCCTTTGATTGAAGCGAGTTTTTTTGTGTTATCTATTCAAAAGAAAACACGTTCAATGATATCATTTGCATGGGTGAAAAAATTCAATGGCATGATTTGCATTTCAAAAAAAAAAAAACGAGATCCATATCAAAATGTGTAGACGAGCAAAAGCCTCTTTATTATAGAAACAGATGGAAAGAGCAAAAAAAGAAAGAAATTTGGAGCGAAAAAATCGCTAAATTCCAATGCAAATGTTTTATTGCATGTTTTGAATGTATTGAAAAATTGTTGGTCAGCCGAGATCAAATACGAATGTATTGAGAGTTTTGCATAAATTTTGGAGCTGTGGTATGGTGCTGCGTTGCACACTTGGTTACATGCAATAAAAATGATGGGCAACAACATATATCGCCCCATAAACACATTGAAATTGTATCGCACACATTGTCAAAATTCGCTAAATACCGAACGGCGGCAATAGCAAAATGGTGGCACGCAATGAACGCATTCCGAATCGATGGAAAATGCAAATAAAACTAAACATCGAGCTGATGTGCCTAACTGGAAGTGTTCGTAATGAACGACAACAGCCGTACGATGTTGATTGGATTTAGTTTTGTATGGAATTTCGTTACCTTTCCCCCGGAATTTTAACCTATGACTGCATGAAAACCGCTAACCAATTTATGCGCGATGCGAAAAAGGAATGCCAATTAGCAACCACAAAACAGTAAAAGCATAGAAGAGCAGCAAATGCTTTATAAAATAATACGGATAAACACACACACACCCGTACTCTTCTCTCGTATTCTCGATTCAACTCAAAACTAAATGGAAAAAGAATGGTAATGATCCTCATGAAGCCAAAGCCACGGCTCTTCAACTATTTTGCGAAAACAGCACGATTCTCGCTGAAGTGTTGCGGTCTCGCGAATACGATATTCATATTTATAGAAGCTTCAATTGCAACGATAAGCACGCACTTTAAAAGTTGCTGTTATATTTTTTTTTTCTCTTCCAATCTCTCTGGTTCTGTTCGGTGCTCTTTTTTTCCAAAAGGCTTTATGAACTTGTTGTCGGATCTCTCTATTATCTCTACTCTCTGTGTGTCTGTGTGTGTGTGTGTTTGTTTGTCTCTCTCTCTCTCTCTCTCTGGATGGCTGATGCTTGGTTATGGTGTTGTTGTGCAATCGCAATGGTGGTTTATCATATTTCAAACTTCATGACATGCATAATAGGGCTTAAAATTGGATTTAATTTTGACACGTTATATTAAAGCGATGGCTATAGAATGAATGCTCAAAATGGAATTTTCCGAAAAACCATTGTAATGACAACCGCTCGACGATCCATTGAGACACACACACACAGACACAGATGGGGAGAGAGAGGGAGAGAGAGAGAGAGAGAGAGAGAGAGAGAGAGAGAGAGACGTTTACCGATAACAAAAGCTTTGATTCGGAGTTTTGCATATTGTATGCCTTCATTAAAACATTTAATCGTTTTATATCGGTAATTGGATTCGATATTGTAAATGATGGAAATTCATTAAATGGTTGTTAAAATAGACGACGTGTCCATTGAATGCAATGCACGCGATTCTCGAACAAAGTCAATTGAAACGAATCAGCCAACGCTGTACCAGACGCAGCTGTACTAACAACAAAGAATGTGGAAATTGTTGACCATTTTTTTCCGTTGACCGTTAGATTGTGTGTGTGTGTGACAAATTATTTTTGACCCAACTTCCTCCATTAGATTGACACGAACCTAAAGCAATTTTTGCGATTGGACGAAAAAGCAACTAGAATGAAAATAAAACCCGTCAAGCGCACAATAAACACATGTTCAATTTGAAAAATCCATTACAATTTATCAATGTGATCATCGGCTGTCCGGATCTATCTCTTGCTTTGATTATATTGATATTGCTATATTCTATTGAATTAAAGCTGATCGGCTTTTTAAGCAGCAATCAACTTAACTAAAAACCCAAATGACATCGTCCAATGGTGGCGATAACGAAATTTTGCGCCCGGTTATTGTGCTGAAAAATAATTTATTAACAACTTTACAATGGCATTTAAAAAGTGCTATTGGACGCGCGTGCACGCGGCATGAACAGAAAAATAAACATGTAGCGTTCTGATGAAAACGAGTGTATACCTTGGAGGAATGAGAAATGTGTTAACTATCGTGGCCTTTGCTGAATTTTTTTTTTCGACGCATAGAAGAGGAAAAAAAGCAAATAAAACACGCGCAGATTTTATGCTTTTGGCACAATAAACGCACGCTTGAGCGCTGACTTTGACAAATTGTACACACACTGTGCGGCTGAGGCAATGCAGTTAGGCCTCATGGTTTGCGTTACAAGGGCAAAAGCTTAAAATCACCATCATTCTATACGTAAATATGATGCGACATTTGAGTATGAAATGAATGAGAGCTTGAAGCACTTACCTAATGCAAAACCGTCCTTTGTCCATTGCACCTGTCCAGCTAAATTTGATACTTCACAGCGAAGAACTGCCTCCGAACCTTCCAGCACTTGTAAATCATGTGGCGTTACTTTGAATTTTTGTTGCTGTGCCGCACTTGTTTGCGCGACAATCATTGCTGCAAAAGATAGGGAAAAAAGTGGTTTGTTAAAAAAAAACGAATAAACTCTTGCACAAGCTTTCGCTTGTTTTTAAAATTAAAATGCATTTGATATATGATTGTCGTAAAAGTATGCATGACTCATGTGGCGTTACTTTGATTTTCGTTTGATTTATCTCGTTTTTTTTTACCGCCAACCATGTATGCATCAGTGATGTTTTGACATACATTGTTCATGGCGCGGAGCAAAAACGACACTATATGCTGTATAATTGAAATCAACAATCTAAATTTATCACTATCATCCACAGAGATTTTGCATAAAAACAAAATGGAACTTTTGCCCCGTCTTTACATTTAATCCTTGCTTGATGGTGAAACAATACAAAACCCTTTTCAATGGGCAAAACCGACCGACACACACACAAAAAGGCAAACAAATTGTGTATGTAAATAGTGATTTGTTCACCCTTTCGAAATCGGATTTCTTATCATGTCTCATTTGCTAATGCTAATTTTGTGGTGGGCTGACAACAGGGCCGAAAAAAAAAACTTATCGAAACGAAGAACAAAAAATATTGAATGAGCTTTTATTGGTTCTGTTATGGCTATTTGTGTTGAGAGTTCATGGTGTACATTTTGTCGTGTCGGGAATGTTGTTTCGTATTTGGCCATCACGTGGCATACACACTCAAACACACATACAACCAAAGCAAAGCCAAAACTGAAATAAAAAGCATAATGAAAGCGACACAAATCAAGGGCAAGATATCGATTAAGATTAGCACAATCTGCCAAAAATGATACTAAAACTTTGCCGATTCAAGATAAATGGCCAGTGCCGTGCATGAGAAGTTTCGAACGAGGGAACCACCGTGCGAAAAAGGCGACAGTATACATACACATGCAGAGAGAGAGAGAATATACATCCCCAGCATCGGAAACAGAAACTTCGTTAAAAGGACAACAACAACATCACAACAGCAACAAGAACAACAAAAAGCAGCAGTAGCAGCAAACGGTTAAAAGGCAAAGTGGTGAATGAGCAAAATATTGTCTCCGCTCGATTTAACGTGCGTTACTGTTTCTGCTACAATGCCTTTCGCGTCATTCACTGCACAACGAGGACAAACATTCCAATAAACACACAGATTTGTTTGTTTGTCTGTCTTTTTCGATCGTATTTTAGTTTGGGCTCCAATAAACTGTCCTCTGTAATTGTGGCCCACCGAAAAAATTTTTATTCCCGCGTTTCTCTTGCTCGCTTGCTTTCACTTTCCCTCTCTCTCTCTCTCTCTCTCTCTCTCTCTCTCTCTCTCTCTCTCTCTCTCTTTCTGTCTCTCTTTCTGTCTTTTGCCATCAAGATTGAGGCGGTTGAAATTTTGTGTGTTTCTTCTTGCAGTTTACTTTGTTTGTTAAGAATAAACATATATTTTCGGTTGCGATGTGTCTTTGTGTGTGTATGTGGAATTCTGGAACAGGCACACTGACAAAATCGTGGAACAACAACAAAAACCGCCACCACCACCAACAACGGAACAAAACCATTGAATGTAGATGGAATAGCAAAAAAAGCGAGGCGAAACATGAAGCTCGAAACTGAAAATACATAGAGAATTGTGCGCGTACAACGCAAAAATGACAACACGGATGTACCGAATGAGAGGGAAAAAAACTGTGTATGAAACCTACTAAATGATGATAAACAACACTTTTGTCGTGTCAAAACTTTTCTTTAAACAAAATAAAAACCGGAGAAAAGTATCGTACGGAGAATGTGTTTTTTTTGCTCTTTCTACCCAGAAAGGGAACGAAAGAGTGCGAGCCGAAAGCCGAAAATTCAAGTTGGTATTTCCAAGAAACCAAACCAAACAGCGAAGGGAAACAAGTGCGTATGCAATAATTTAAACGTTGCTAAACATTCATCGAACACAGAAAAATACAAGCGAAAAGCGGAAAGTTCGCCATGAATTAACCAAAACAATATTCCGAGGGAATACAACAGGAAAAAAGTTAGAGCTAGAGTGAAGCCAGTGAAGGAGAAAAGAACAACAAAAACAACAATAACAGCAACAGCAACACCACCAGAATGGTGATAGCAAGATATGCAAAGGATGGTTGCGATCATCAACTGGCATTTTCCGCTTAATTTTGAAGTCTTGGTTTTATTTATGTTATTTGCCTGTGTGTTTTCCCAGTTGTCATGTAGTTCGCTTGAGAGAGAGAGAGAGAGAGAAAAAAAAGGGAAGCTTGTAATGAAAATTATAATCTAAGAGCATCAACGGTGGCAACAGGAGCTGCAGCAAGCAACAGCAGTGCCAGAATCGACCAACAAATTCTCAACTCAAGGCTTAAGATTATCGTCACCATCCTCATCCTACTGTCCATCCAATAAGCTTCTTAAATCAAAATCGAAGTAATGGTACAACAAAGTTGCGAAACTTTTCTCCATCTTGGCGTCATTGTTTAGGCAAATTCGAGAGTAATAAAAGACTTATTGTCAGTTGCTAAGAACTTTCGACTGTCGTACTCACAGCCTCACTCTCTCTATGTGTTGTCTATCTCCTTTTCATTCAATCTAAATCGCTTGCTTATACGCTCGAAGACACTGTGCATGCGAAACTCTCAGAGGCGTTAGGCATTCATACGTGAAATGTATACGGTATGGAATGTGGTTGGGCAAAGGAAAAACAAAGCTGATTTGAAAAGGTGAAGCTCAAGCGATGTAAGTGGCGCGCGCGGCTACTACCAAAACACCCAAGCAATGGTGGTTTTCACATCAAAATGGCTCCCATGGGTAGATTTCGTTGTTCGAATGAGGCTTTGGTAGCCGAGAGTGAGAGAGAAGGAAGAAAAACACCATGCATAATGAATATTCATGAGCATTTTCTCTATCGGTTTGCTGAAAATTTGCTTTGGTAGTCAGTAACTCATTGTTGCTTATGCTACGGTTCACTTTCTAATTGTTACTATTTCCCATTCGTTGGAGTTTATTTGCATTTCGTGCTCTCTATCACTCGCTTACTCTCTCGCATACACACACACACACACACCGAGTGTGTTTGTGTTTGTGCTCGCGTCCCCGTGTCCCACTGTGCATGTTCAATTGTGAAACATGAAAATGCGTAACGGGTATGGCTCAGCGCTTATGTACTCACGTTTGTCTCATCACACCTCGTGCTCTACAAACCCAAAATCTAAACAAAGTACCGAGAATGCAAAATGAGAAAGAAAAAAAAGAACGATCCAACATCACCAAAATGGGTAAAATGTATGTGTAGTGCCTTATTTCGTTTCAAACGAATGGCACAAAGTTAAAGCGAAAAATTTCGCATTCATCTGGTCTCCTATCGCATCGCACACACACACAATGTTCGCGTGGATACTTTGGTTTTTGCTCTCTTGAAATTCCACAGCAAACCACGAATTATTAGATGTTTACACAAAAACATTAATATCAGTTGCGATAGAGTGGGACAAAGAAAAGATGAACTCCTGGATAAAGGATAAATCATTGTCGATTTTGTTGCCGAAAATGGTCCATGTGTGTGTGTGTGTGCACGCTGCATACACACGAATACTAACCAAACACAGTCAACCAACGAACCAACCAGCCAACCGGGCAAACGAAATGAGCTGATGTGCCTGGCCCTCAGTACATACACACATGTATATATACACCGATGAATGTGAAAATGGGAATATTTCCACAAACCAGGTTAAATCTAATGATAAGTACACAACACATGGCAAACGCGTCGTCTCTTGTCTCTACACCGATTGAATAATGTGAAACGAACAAAGCTGCTGCAATCAACGTTAAGTAGATGGAAATTTCACTTCGTGTAAATACTTGATAGATTTTTCGGGTTATATCGTGTGTGTGTGTGTTGTACGTCATTGGGTGGGTTTTTACTAGCAAAAACTGGAAAATTATTGATGCAGTAAAAGTCATCGTTTCAACTTGCCCTCACTCACTCTCTTTCCCTCTCTCACTCATTAAAGCGTTTAACGTCAGCTTTTCATCATGCGGATAGATGTTGATATGGATATTTCTAAAGTGCTTCTTGTTTGAAAAAGCTCAATAATTACACATAGTTTAGCGTGAAAAATTCTATATTGAAAAATTTATTAGCATTGACATAAGCGCACAGCGTTGATAGTGGCATCGTTTGCATTTCTTTTTCTCTTTCCTTTTATAAAAAGAAGTAAAACTACGCAAAGCATATTTGTGTTTTGCCAAAAATGATGGTTGGTCGAGGTATTTTAACTCATAAAATATGTACAAGCCATTCGTATTATCTTTCTATTCATTGCGCACACTGGATCTGTGTACCAAGCGAAATTAAATCAAACACATACGCACTCAGCAGAACAGTAGCACCAGTGGCAGAAGCACCAGTGGAAGTAGCAGTGAAATAAAAACCCAGCTGCACGGGGCCAAAATAGAATATAATAACTTTTATGATATAGCTGAAAATGGAGCCAAATTCGGATGTGCATGTATAGTAAACATGTGCCGACGTTTGGCATTTTCACAGATGCAAACCGAGAGCCGGGGAACATTAACAACTTTAGTCACATTTTCTTTGCTAAGTGGCTATGTGTAAGTGTGTGTATTGTTGTTTTTTTCTCCTCTTCTTCTTCTTCTTCACCCCTCGAATTGCGTAGATTTCGAGTTTTTCATTTGTATATCTTTAATTTATTTCTATTTGTATTCATGTGTACAAGATGCGCTCACGATTAATATTGGTTGTTTATTACTGGCAGAACGAAATGAAACGCAGGAAGAAAAAAATCATAGCCATATACAACTGAAGATGCTTCAAACCGAAATTAAATTAGACATAAATCGCAATGTTTGGTGTGATATAGTATGCCCATTGAATGCTTTCGCTTGTAACACATTTTTCGATGAGTCTGGTGTGAAACAGCAGAAGATGACGAAGAGAAGCAAAAAAGAACGTTGTGAATGAGCAACACACATACCCAGTCAAATAACTCGCAGCAAATAATGG